AATTTAATGCTATCCTTCAAAAGTTTTGCATGCTCTGCCAGCTTCATGTGTCCTTCAAATTCACTAAACATACTTGTTTACACCAAATTCACATTGATGAATATTACTATGACTAATAGAATTTTTCCAGCACTAAAATTAAATCAACCGGTCTACAATGTCTACATCTGTTCTTCATATTTAAATACAGGTATATTTATTTTGAGACAGAATCTATGTTTGTTCCTTGCCTTTTTCCAGTAATTTACATGTCTTCCACTAGTGTCAAAGGAGAAATCCTAACAGTTCAAAGATTGGTTCGGCAGTCCTACACGTAACCTACAGTGATACTCATCAAACCTAGATGAGTAGACGGTATCTAAGTTCATATTTCAGTCTAATTCAGATTAAATCCTTTTTTGTTGTTAGTGATTACGTCACTCACACTCTGGATGTTTGACTTCTTAGTAAAGACTGATGCAAAAAGGCTTTTAAAATTGCAATGGCAAACAGGCAAGTCCATGTACTTAAAGTTACTATGATCACTAAAAATACTGTACTAACATAAAACTGGGAGCAACACATGCTAATTACATATTCAACTCATGAGGCAGGATGACAAATAGGTAAGTTAGGGAACAAGTAAACATACCAACAGGGGGACCTGCCGGAACAACGCACTTCTTGTCCCCCCGGGTGGCAGGGGGGGCACCCTGACTCCTTGCGAGGCCTTCCTGGAGGAGCTCCTGCACCCGGGACTCATTGATCCGGGGGAAAGGGAGGATATGAACCCGCAAGTGGGAGCCCTCTGTGGGCCGCGGCACTTTCTGGAATGCTATGTGGGGATTGGGATTCTCCTGCAGGTCAAAAGCAAAAGGTTATACACAAACGTTTTATGCAGTGTTACCATCTGTCTCGCCCAGTTTTATTGCTGTTTTGTGTACCTGTCATACCTGAAAGACCAAGAAGCCAAGTATCTATTAGCAGCTGACTAATATAACATTTCGTGTTCATCTGACCCTTGATTCATTATCTGTAATACTTCCAACCTTGTTAAAGGCGTCTATAAAAATTGTTGTCAATATGCAAAATTCAAAAAGAGAGCAAAAGAAAATCACTGCTTAACAGGCTGATCTTATGCAGCTTAATGAATATTTAGGACTTGAAAAGAAATAAGTTTGACAATCAACCTCTTCATTAGAGAGAAGGCTGAAGATTATTAACACATGCAATCTCTTCACTGAGTACTGAGAAATATTCTCATCTTGATCAAGACTAAGAAGTAAAAATTCGGTTTTGTACCATGTTGTACCAAACTACGGCCATTCCTCATTAGAGAATAATTTCCTATCATCCATATGTCCCATAAAAACATGTCACACAGCTCACTGTTTGCACGAAAAAAAAGGTGAAAAAACTTAATATAGGTGATGAAAGAGAGTAAATGATGTGCCTAAACTACAAGGAAAGTAAAAAGAAGCTGCCACATCAGATTCTGGAGTGTTCTCAAAGCATAAAAGAGACTTCTGTTGTTGCAAAACTATCAGAACATCCACTGCGAAAATAAATGTTTGCCTACATGATTTTTCACTCACTCTTTTACGGTCTGTAATAAGCAGCCACAAAGAAAGCTTTTATTCTTGCTTTTGGGTTTTCTTGCAGAGCTCTTCAGAATCAGAAAGACCAAAAAACCAGTTTCACATTGTAGAACTGACTTATTTGTTTTACCAAAATAATTACCATACAACAGAGATATGACTGTATGTGGGATATTTGAAGACTTGCTCTACGTAGGTAAGCTCTGTGGTGTTTGTCAGTATCAGATGCAGTGTCAGTGCAATATGTGTTCCTATATATGCACATGCATCTTCTGCCTCTGGTTTCAGCAAACAGAAAGTTGATGTACATCACAAACCATTAAGTTTCACTCAACTGCCTCCACATTGACTTCAGCTTGTTTAAAACACACTTTCCAGAAAGACGTCCTGAAGAGAGCAAGAAATGAAAATTCACCATTTCCTTCTTTTTGGTTTTCCCCTCAAATGGTTAATAATCTTTCTAGTTTGGGTTTTTTTTTCTGGCTTCAGGTTGTACCTCTTCCAAAATACAGCCAAGATCTACACGTTCCATAAGGATTCTACCACCATTCACAGGATCGCATCTCATGTCTTGAGGAGCGTAACAATCAAAAGGGTATTTTCATCTGTTCATTCACACAGGAGGGGTTATCATTAATCATGTTTGAATGTACTGTTATCCCATTTGACTCTATGCTGCTACTTATTACTGGCTACGTACCACTGCCAAAGAGTGCTACTCAGTCAAGGAGGTTTCTGTTGTACAAGCACAAGTAGCTTGTAATAAAAATTGTAAACAGGAGCTAGCGTGATACTTTCGTTTACAGGAGCAAAAGGCAACAAGGAGATCAAATGCATCAACTTGAGAAATAGCAGTCAAAACAAACCTTAGCCATACAAATTCTCGGCAGAGGAAAGTTTAACGAAACAAGCCAAAAATCTAGCTAGGGGGATGAGAGCAGCAGATGCCAGGACAAGCAAGGCAGAGAAAGGAAACACGGTCTTAGCAGGGGGTAACAGATGACACATAGCAGAAAAAGCTAGAAAGGGAGAATAACTATTCGACACTCCATTTCATGGAGAAGAGAGATCCAGAGGAAATATACAGAAAGAGTTACTTTAACCTTGGACATCACAAACCTTATGTCAGCTGTACATGCTATGAGGAATGTAGGTCTGATGTCTTCAACTACTGAAGCAGTATACACCAAAAACTCATCCAGATTTACCAGTCGTACCAGCTAGACTAATACAAACGTTAATTCTCCCTAACAAACCTTGTCTCTCATATGCGTCTAGACTGTCACAGCTACAATATGATGACTATTAAAACTGTGGAACAAGATGTCAAAATACATCATGCAGTGAGTTTAAAATCAGGCAACTGTAGACATAACCTACAGAAGCAATGCTACTCATCACAGTGCTTTATTCAAAGATAGATGTATGCATAACTACTAAAAATCTGACTTTTAAATGCACTAAGTCATTGACTTAGTGGTAGTGAAGGAGCAGGTCAATCACAACGGCATAAATAAATCTTATAATAAGGAAAGACTAAAATGAATTAGTTTTGACACTGATTTTAAGAATCAATATAAGTGCAAAGTTGCACATATGCATATTCACTTATGCTTTATAGCCTCTTTCATTCCAAAAAGGATGAAAACAAATAGAAATATTCACCATTTACTCTGGAGTAATTTAGAATCATAATAACAATTATATTGTTTGAAGCAATTTCTTTATGGGATAGCACCACAATAATTATAATCTTATAAAATTAAAGCCCTAGCTCTTGGTGAAATAAAAACTTTTAAGACAGGCTGATCTTCAAGAAACTTTAGTGCAATACTCCTCATTTTTTCTGCTGTATCTTCCCCTAATTTGAATTTACTTATCTCTCCCATCTGCTAAAAAAGAACCAGACTCATTTACTTTAATATTGCCCATTGACTTTCTAACGAAACTAACAGTCCTGAACCTTGCAGAACTGGCAACTAATGCACCTTCTGACAGCGTTAACCTGAAAGACCTGAATTTGGAAAACGCACATTGCTATATATAGTACAACTATTAAATTAGAAGCACAGAATTTAATATTTATTCAGAAGTTTTTATTTCTGATTTAGCTCATAATAGAAGATGATTCCATCAGTATTTATCATTAAGAGAAAGCGACATGATGAGGAGGTATACCATGGAATAAATAATATTTTATTATAATCGAAATTTCATGGATGAAATTAACCTACATAACAAAAATCCTGATGCTTAATGTCTCTCTTCCACTTTCCACAAGATACATTCTTTTTGTAAGACTGAAGTGTCAGTGTAAGGATATCAGTGTTAAGATACTCCAATAAGTATGCCATAGCATGTATCGACAAGAGACAACATTTCAAAACCATTTTTAAACGTGAAATGCTTTTAGTTCACAATGATTAATTGCTCTCTCTTCTAATGACTACTATCAATTCTTTCCTTCAAAAAAAAAGTGTAACTGTCATTTGACAATTTCAGAGGAAAAGAGAGATGAAGTGCAGGAGTGAGTGAGTGCATCTGAAGACAGACACACAAAGGCCGCAACTGAGGACAATATTAAAATCAGACTAGCCTCATTTAACACACCTTACTACTCACACATTCCATTTACTTGAAATACATAGATGTATTTTTCCATCCAAAATCTACTGACACAAAAGACTGCTGAATGCACTGGCTGTAAAAATACTAATTTCACCCCAAACAAAGACTGCATCAACAGTGATGAGATCCTTATAGGCAATTCATTTTGGAAAAAAAGACACACACAACCCAAAAAAATCCCTAAAACGCTGAAGCTTAGCAGTACTTAGTAATTCTTGTGGGTTTTTAATAGAAGTGTAGATGTAAATCATAGTTTGGGGGAAGTGGAATATCAAAAAGAAAGGGTGATAAAGGTATTAACTGACTGTGTAACAGATACTGTTCTGTGGAGTCTGAGCAATCACAGGAAGTGTGAGGGGGAGGGAGATCAGCTGATGTCAAAAACACCAAAAAGAAATAAACAACAGGGAAAGCCCAAAAAAACAGCTAATGGAATGGTAAGAGATTTTACAAAAGCACCACATTACATAAAGGCATGATAGGAAGGCAAGAATGAAACTGGAAATGGTATTCGAGGAAACCTAAAGAGTTCCAGAAACAAGCTGTAAGAGATGAACAGTGCTTGCTGAGCACACAAACCATGGGGACTGGGTTGGCACAGCAGGAAAGGTCTGTCAAAAGCATACATTATGACAAATTGGATGTTCAGTTTTCATATGGAGAATTGTTGAGAGGCAAGAAAAAAAGAGACGTATTTGATATTGACAGGTTGAAGCAGAGAAAAAAAATGTTTATATGAGCAGACACTAAGAAAATAGACTGTTAAATAGCAGTAGTTAACAGGTCAATCAATATTACTATATTGAACTTCCTTTACATACACAAAATTGCTGACATTTAAAGTTCCAAAGTCTTTTGTCATAATGCAGATGCTGACCATCACAACCAGTCATTTCCATTTTCAGATACTGGATCAATGTCAGAAACGTGAATTTTGAATGTTACTATCTCAACTCTAAAAATGCAGCAGGTATAGTAAACTTACATTTCTGAAGAGCTGTTCTGCAAGTTCTCTAACATGCTTTATCATTTTTGGTGGATTACCTTCCTCAGCTTTAATTCTTTCGACTTCAAAGGCTACCAACTTTAAAAAAAAGAAAAAAGTATAATTCAACTAAAAAGTATTTCTTTCCTATTTAAATTATGAAATATTAATCTTAAATTGAAAGTGAGCAAAGAAAACTGAACACTGAAAAAATGTGTTGAACTGCTCTGAACATGAAATATTTTCTTTCTTATAAAGCTTCTTTTACCAGATTTTATAGTCCTACCTAACACAGAAAGTCCTACACACCTAAAACATTCCTTTAACATTTCTAACACCGTAATCCATATTTCTCATATATTCTACTGCTTTGCAGAACTAATGCCAAACCCTATTTGTACTCTACATTTAAATAAAAGCCAGCACAGTACAAACATGGCAGTACTTTTTAAAAGAAAAAAATGTTCATCCCAGTTTATACTGCTGGATATGTATTCAATTTCATATCTCTCATGTCTCTCAACTACTTTTTCAATGTTTCTAAGAATATAATTAAATTACTCAAAATAATTCTGTACTAGCGCATGAGACACAATATGAAGATCCAAACCTGACAACAGGAACAGCATTACCATGATATATACAACTATTTAACTTAATACATAGAAGCAGGACATGATTTTATGGACATAAGCTCAAAATGTGTGGTTAGTAGAAAACAAGAATTGAGAACATTAGTATAAACTTTACATAATAAACAGTGAGGATGCAGAAGCATTTCAATAGTTTTTTACATGCTGAAACGTCATAGGTACATTTTAATTTACTTGGGAACATAGAAACCATTTTCACCTCATCAAAAAGATCACAGGCTCTGAAAGGAGGACCCCGCTCTGACACAAAACCAGCAAATGCCATTCCATTGAGAACTTTGGTTAGAAAGTCATTCTCAATTAAGCCTCGCTGCCCCAAGAAGGCTGCCTGCAATAAAGGTAGAAAAAAATGCATGTAGTTTATGAGTATCAAAACTACAACCAGCTATTTATGTATTAGCAGTTAAATATTTTCATCAGCTTAAAGTAATATGTGGTACTTTCTAATTAGAATCTTTTATATTACCTAGATTCTTTTTAAAACTAAATTCAGCAGTGATGCAACAGGAAGTCTGATGACCCCATTTTATAAAATCTCACAAGTAATAACATAGAAAACTAGTACTTTTAAGTATGGTTTTCTAACTACATATGCATGTTTTCAAAATTCCTTAATGATTCCTCAAATATTTCCACATATTAAATTTTAACGTTAACTTCATTTCATGTTTCATCACTGTCCCCACAATTAGTTCCACTAAAACGCATTTATATAGTGCTGTATCAAAATGATATGCTTATCACGTGCAGATTCTTTTATTTTTTTAAACTTTAACACTTGTTCAAAAGGCAAGCTCATGGGAATAACATGACACAAATGACTGCTAATTAACTGCTTCTCTTTTACCTTATGGAAATGAATTACTGGTTCAGCATGAATTCTGATCAGCTGAAGACACGACCGGTATCCTTGGAAAAGTTGTGCAAATAGCCTAAGGAAGATTGCTCGCACTTCTTTATCCTGTAAGCAGTAATTGAATATGCTGTCAAAACATTTTTGTATTCTAAACTTTTCCACACTCTGAACAAAGCTATCTGAGAAAGGCCTACAAATTCATCAAAGAATGCAGCAGTGTAGTACAGAAGTGGAGATACTTGTACACATACGAACTTATTTTACATGAGGATAGAATTTCACTGACCTGGCCACAGATGACAATGACAGATTTAGTATCTATTCACCCATTTTCTCCTACTGCTCTTTTCTAAACCTGTACAACAGGCTCTGGGCAATTCAACTGTACCTGTTGGGATGGTCATGTGGTGAGCCATATGAAGGAACTGCCATGAGAGAAAACTGATGCTAAATAAAAGGAAGAGGGCATTTTAGCCTGAATTTCTTCCCTAAAATAAGTACGGCTCTGCAGCACTACATAAGCAGTGCCATCGGAGTGGGCAGGGTGGCAGGGAACCACAGGAGCCTAAGCTGGCATTGCTGCTGGGGGAGCCAGGCTCGGAGCATCACAGCAACACCAGCCATCCACTGTGGCTCTGCCAGCTGAGGGGACTGCTCTAAGTTTGCTCAGCTACTTGTCTAGGACTCTTCCAACTCATGTCTTCACTTGCCAGTCTACTGCAGGCAAAATAAGACAGGGTTAGTTTAAAAAGTTTACAACAGTAGATCTTTAAAGTCCTGGTTTATTTTTATTTAAATGAGTAAGGGAGTGCTTACATAAACATTGATGGACTATTGGAGATGATGTGAACAGCGGGCAGACTTGGGGCAGTGACATCTTCAGCTGGCCCAGATGCAGCTAAAGACTGTAATCAAATCCTGTGTCATCCATGTTATTTTATCTCAGCTCATGTACCTACTCAGACCGCAACCATGTGTAAAACCTGAGGTCCTAAAAATTGTTTTATGACCTTAGGTTTTATGGTGTCTCAAAGGATTTCAAACAAACTCTAACTTTAAAAGTTACAAGAAGCAAAGAATATTAGGCTAACTAATCAGGTAAACTGCTGATCAGCTAATCAACAAGTAAATACCATCTAAATAAGTTAAAGCTTGTAATGATTTTTTAAAGAAATAAGTTTAGGTACATAAAAGATTCTATAAAGTTGTCCTGTTGGAATATTTTTATAAATGTATCTTCTTCAATGGAACATGATCAATGTTATTTAATTTTAACTTATTTTTGCAAGTTTACTCTCCCTTTACTAAGAGATATTCTCAATTTCCTTGTGTCCAGGCTGCTCCCTAGGATTTTAACATGTACATTTGTACCTTGACTTTTTGGACCACTTGAAATCATGATTGTTTCTTTCAGATTTAATAAAATTCGTATTTTGATACAAAATTGTATTAATTTATAGCTTCACCACTCAAAGTGAGATATTGGTTGAATTCTGCCATTAGTTTAAATAAAATCTAGACGACATTTCCTGTCTTCAGCAATGAAAAAAAAAACAATCTTAAAGCAAGAAATAAGAACGACAAATATATTGTACCACTTAAAAGAGTTTTATGGTTTTGAATATATATATTTCGTTTGCACTACCAACTCTAGTTCAATTCCAGAAACTCCTCCAAGCTAAAACCAGCAGCTTTAAAAGTCGTTATGTTATCATGGCTTCACAACTATTTTTAATTTAAATTAACTAGATTTTAGTAGAAAATTGTCTTCACACTTTTTTTAGTATAGACAATTACAAATAGCTTCATTCAGGTTGAGGTTTATTACAGCCATTCAACCATGTATGGTTAGAAAAACCATGTAACTCCTTTCCCAATATGTCCAAGCATACAATGTATAATTGTCATTATTATTGTAAAACCAGTGACTTATGTTTTGCTGACACAGCTACCATTCCTATCTTTACATATTTACTCTAAATGCTGCATGACATTTCTAATGTTTCTGAACATTTTTTGGGGAAGTTGGAGGTTGTCTATAAGACAACTTAATTTTAACATTTACACAAACAGACAGAAAGACCAGTTTGTCCACTCATGTAAAATTCTGCAGCGTTACTGGTCTACATAACAGAGGAGGCACAGATTTAACAACAGACAGCAATATTAAAACAAAATAAAGTGCTTCCATATTAATACAAATATGTTTATAAAAACTTCTAGCCCATTAGAATGCTATTAGAGGGCAGAATGCAAAGTCCAATGGCATCTCTTTGCACCACCAATAATACTATAAAGAATATGGATATGCAAAGCACAAAGTAGAAGTTCTTAAAAAAAAGTTAGTCTAAAATTTCAGCAATTTTCTACTTAAGAAAGTCAGACATAACACAGAAATCTTACCAGCATTTTTGAGTGTGATAAAGCTGTTCGTGGGGGAGGGAATGCATAATCTGCTGTTTCCAAATCAGGATGCAAAACCTAGAGAATTTTTTAAACAAAATTTTTTTCCCTCATTTTGCTGAGGAAAGGAAAGGAAAAATAGCCTTTTTTTCGTCTTTCTCAAATTAATATTCACTTATAGTTCTGTACCTTAATTAATAGATTGAGTTAAATTATGAAGACTCTATGGAAATAAAGGTGGGATTAATTTCTCAGCTTCGAGTTTCTGTAAGTGGGCTAGTTATCAAAAACTCCTATTACGGTCAATGAAGCTAGTAAATACAGTTAGGGATTTTACAGTTGATTCATCTGAAACTGATTAACAGACAGAAAATTCTTCTCTTTAAGATTAGAAGATTTGTCCAGAAGTCTCCAAAAATGTGATTTCCACCTTATGACAATGATAGTAAAAAGACAAACTGAACTGCTTTTTTTGATGATTCCTTAATATAGAATCAACCACTCCTGAATATTAATATAGGGGCATCATACAAATTAACTTTAAGACTAATTGGTTATTCACTTGTTAAACATCACGACAATGTACAATTTAAATGAATTTATAAAAACAGAAACGAAGCTAAACTGAATAGTAACAATGCTGCTCAAATATAGAGGTTGAACTCTTATTAAGAAATCATTATTAGGAAGGAAAAATCACTACCTATATCTTGAATAGTGAAAAAACATTTTAGTAGTAGATTACTGATGATACTAACTCTAACTTCAAATAATAAATTCTTCTAAAACCAGGAATGTTTACACTGAATCATAGTTTTAAATCTCACACTTCCAGTGTGTTTGAAAACAATTTAATACTGAAACTAATTTTTCACTCTTTAAAAAAAGGTGAGAGGGTAGAAAATGGGGTTTGCATCAAAACATACTAGAGAAAGCGCCATTTGGGTCTGCTGTAGCAGTGGCTCTGGCAGCTGAGAAAGATGAATACATTCAGGAATTTTAATTGTGCCTCCATCCAGGTCTGCTATGATCACATCTAACTGTAAGGGATGAATAAAAACATTATCGGTAGTTCATACTGCAAGCATAGTTTAAAAACACACAGTTCCAATTTCATGATCTGCACATAAGTTAAAATAAACTATAACAGTATTAACTTTAATGTATAGAACAGTTTTGATACAGGAAATATTTCAAATACTTCATATTACTGAATCTAGCCATGAAAAATGAATGTAAACCAAAGATACTGAAATTAGGCCAAACTCTCAAAAGTGACTTTTGTTTCTGGATATTCCAGGTCTGTGTTCAGTGATTTGAGAGCTCTAATAGGCTGTTTGCAAAAGGACATGGTGAGGACAACTGTAAGTAAAATAACATTGTTTCTAGGCACCTCTGTAACCCTGGTTCAGTTTCTCCAAGCACATGCTTAAGGATAAAACAAAACAATTAAGAATACATTTGAAAATCCTAAGTGAATTGTTCAAACTTATTACAAATGCATGACAAAGCTAGAAATGGATCCATTCCTTTCCATCCTGCACTAGGATCAAATAATTTCCATTCTCTACTTCATAGCCTCAATGTATTTACAAAAGAATTGATGCTTTTTCTTTTTTCTCCTCCCGATTGTCCTGCCTTGCTTTCTACAATAATATTTCAAGCGTATATCAATTTTTCATATAAACATCCCTGAAGCGCTAAAAATCTCTGCAACTAAACATCACAAATGACATTGTGACTATAAATATGCTGGGCAGACATACTTACAAGCTCATGAATGTCATTGCAAAAGACAGAATGTACACCAATTATGAAAGGTGTTGGTGAGCTGAGAACTTCCAATAGCTGTGCAGGAAGAATTGGAATATAGGGATAACTGTGAAAAGAATAAATAAAATAAAATAAAAGCTTCTGACTATCCTCTAACATAGGGCAGCTTTTTTTATTTAGAAAAAAATCTTCCTGTTATGTCTTAAATTTACTATAAAACCCTGCGTTTTAAAAATAAAAAAAGATTGAAGTATTAATTAAATTTTTCTTTATAAAGTGCCATGCTGTTAAATGAGCATCTGTCATATAAACTCCAGAAATTATTGTATTATATGCTCTACTATTTATTGTAAACAAATGTAGTTTTCAAAATAAGAGAAGCCTATTTATATTTCTAACATTTGTGTTATACTGACATATATTAGTCCCCAACTTTCAGGTAACTAGGGACACTAAAGTTATAGATAATACCCTCATTTTAAAAACATGGCTAGTTTTTGGTCAGACACCTAACGGTCAGCCTTCTGTAAAATATGGTTAATAAGGAATCTTTAAATGAAATCTTTTGAAATGACAACTAAACACTATGTATAGAACAATGTATTTCAGATATTGTTTACTTGATTTGACAACTTTAAAAACCATTTTCATCAGAGCAACATGAAAATCTGGATCTAAACTTATCAATGCATTTCAACACCTGATTTACTGTTACTAAAAATTTACATTCATGACTATTTTATCATTAAGAAACATATTCCAAAACTCAATTTCAATTTTTTCCTTCTTATTCTATATTAAAATCAAGTCCACATCTGAAATATTTTAAATAAAACCATTCTCTTAAAATATAAACATCTTTTGAAACAGATGAGTCAGAATTAGAGGTCTTCTTCCTAAAGAAAACAAATAGCTTGACATTAAATTTTCCATTTCAAAACTCTGGATTCAAATGTAGCTTTTTAGAGAGGACCTATTTGTTGATTTAAATTCATTCTCTGGTGGACATTAGTCAGTGACTTAAAACTGTGATGCACTCTAATGTAGGTGTTATCTTAGAACCACAGAACCTTTCAGGTTGTAAAGGGCCTCAGAAAATCATTTAGTCCAACCTACTGCTCAAAGCAGGGTCAAGACTGAATCCAGATCAAGTTGTCCTGGGCTCTGTCCAGCTGGGTCCTGAAAACTTACAGGGATGGGAGTTCCACAGGCTCTCTGTTCCACTGCTTAGTTATCCTCATACTAAAACATGTTTTCCCTGCATACAGTCAGAAACCTCCCTCTCCCCTGTTTCTGTTCATGACCCAATCTCTTGTTCTCCTGCCACGCACCTTCTCTTCCTTATTGACAGGCTGTTATTAGATCTCCCCCACATCTTTTCCATGCATTTACTCACAGATCATCACTGCCAAGTTTTACCATCTGATTGATGTTGTGGGTAGGGTTTCTATTGTATTTGTGGGTAGGATGTTCCCCTAATTGTTTCCCTTGTCATGATGCAATCAGATTCTTATGAACGATGTGTACAGACTACGAAACCCTTTGCTTATTCGATCAAACATAGCACAATTCCTTTTGTTAAGGACAACGCAATGTAAGTTATAAAATGAGTTATAAAATTATCCAGAGTTCAAAGAACTGGAACTCAACTCACCTGTATTTGAGGGGAAACATCAAAGACTCCAGAGCCCTACAGGCATCACTGAGCCTCTGAAAACTTGCAGAGTGAAAGAGAACCTTATTTTCTGTAAGCACAGCACAGAATAAGCTGAGTACATTTTGGATTCCTTAAAAAAAAACAAAACAAAACACCAAACTGTAATGACGTGTCAAAAGAACAATCAAAATTATATTAAAATGTACCATTTTCTGAAGGAATTTTCAAAAAGCATAAATGCATAAATTGTTAAAATCCAAGTCTTTCTAACTTTTATTGAAATAGTGCAGCTTCATTTCTATTTTTCAGGTTGCTAAAATACTATCTGAATGTACTTCTACATTTCAAATATATTGTATTATATCTCCCTTTCAATATCACTTTCAAGGACTTCCTCTTCTCAGGACAAATGCCAGCAATGCTTAATAATGACTTCAAACAGTATTACATGTATCTTCTCCACAGCCTTCTGTGTATTAGAATTCAATTCTGTTCACTGATCCAGGCTTAACTTCTAAACCTTTATGTATCTCCATGGGCAAAAAAAAATAAAATCATACTGCTGAGCTCAAATAAAAGTGACAAAGACGACAAAGACTTTCTAACAAATACATTCATACTTCATCCATGGAGAGCATTCTAGGATTCACAAGATTAAAAAAGGGCAGTAAGAGCATACATGTCATTAGAAGGAGATGTTAAAGGACAGATGACTGTTTAAACAAGCCCTGCTAGATTTAGGGTAAGACTCATGAATCAGATGATGGGTGGGGTTTTTTTAAGACACTATAATTTACCTAGAAGCCAAAGTTATGGGCTTTCAGGGAAAACCAAAAATACATTTCCTTTAAAACAAAGTCCCATCCTGAGAAGCAGACACGTCTGAGATATGCGAGATATGCTGAAATTTATGAAATTTCCTGAAATACGCTGGAATGTATGATGTTTCCCTGAGGACATAGCTTGTGTTATCAGACAGCTCATATTACCTTTATAAAGCTACTGTTTATCTTACAGTAATCATCCCAATAAGAAGCATGACTACTGAGAGCCACTATATCCATATAATAATTAACACTTTGTTTTGCTTAAGTAATTTTTATTACATGTTTTGACAAATCATTTTTTCTATGGTCATAGAATCACAGAATGGTTTGGGTTGGAAAGGACCTGAAAGACCCCCCAGTCCCCCCCCCCCTGCCATGGGCAGGGACACCTTCCACCAGACCAGGTTGCTCCAAGCCCCATCCAGCCTGGCCTTGAGCACTGACAGGGAGGGGGCAGCTACAGCTTCTCTGGGCAACCTCTGCCAGTGTCTCACCACCCTCACAGGAAAGAATTTCTTCCTAGTATCTAATCTAAATCTCCCCTCTTTCAGTTTGAAACCATTACCCCTTGTTCTATTGCTACACTCCCTGGTAAAGAGTCCCTCCCCACCTTTCCTGCAGGCCCCCTTTAAGTACTAGAAGGCTGCTCCAAGGTCTCCCTGGAGCCTTCTCCTCTCCAGGCTGAACAATCCCAACTCCCTCAGCCTGTCCTCACAGGGGAGGTGCTCCAGCCCCCTGATCATCTTCATGGCGCTCCTCTGGATCCACTCGAGCAGGTCCATGTCTTTGTTACACTGGGCGCCCCACAGCTGGACATGATGTTGTATGAAAATTGGCTTTGCTGGAGTGGAGCTTGATTCATAAAAATAAAGGGACAAGGATTCAGAAAGGGTTGTTGATAGAGACTTAATTCTTAGGATGAACAAGTCAATAACTTAATAGCTTGTGCTTTCAAACTCCATTCTCCAAGAATCCTAAGGACAGATCCATAAAATCAAAGGCAAAGACTTGAGAGGACTCAGAAGGCTTTGTTACAATGCTGAGTGAGTTACTGTGGCAAATATTTGCTATTGTTTTCACTGGCATAATTAATATTGTGGTAGTATAAAACAGACTGCTTTGTAATACACAAGGTAAGGACAGCATTTTAAAAATTTAACTAGTTTCCTCATGTGAATGAAATAGCACAATAGTGAATGGTTAGAAGCTAACTTGAAATAGTGTCCTTTCTTCTGTAAGTATGTAAGAAGGTATGCACGTATTTGAACACAAAGTTACAAAACCAAAAAATCTCTAAGAAATTAAAAACTGCCCTTTTAATGCAAAACTGCTCTTGTTGCCCAGAAGATTTTGAAGATTGTCTTGGAGTATACTTTTTGTTTTAAACTATATTTTTCTCTTTGAGCCAAATGGGCTTTTAACACTGTTTCATTCCACACCAAACGTCTTAAGACACTTAGAAGTACACTTTTTAAAACAGCTGATCCTTTTTTTCTTATAATCATATAGAAAAATTCTCAAATACTACTCCATAAACCTATAATGTTCTTGCAGATATTACTGAGGAAAATAATACTTTAAAAACTCACAAATATTCACAACATTCGGTACAACTAAATTGTCTTAAAAAATGCATCATGATCAAAATCTCTATAACTATAAACTCTTGAAAGAGATGGCTTTCCATTCCGCACATCGTAGAACTGCAACCTAGGCTGAGAGGTAACAGTTCTAAAAACAAGTGTACAATTGCAATCAAGCTGTGTAAAAAAATAGCCCTTTTTTCTAGCTGTATGATATTCTCTTGCTGTGGGTTACGATGATTCAAGAGTCTAGAAGGAATATCTTAATTCTAATAGCTTTAAAAGCCCTAAGACTTATCCAGTATCAGCATTTTTCACTTGAAATCTCTTCTGAATATAGGATTACTCATCAGATATCGAAACAATACACAATTCCCAACAGTACATAATTACTGAGCACTTAAAAAAATTTTACAAACAAAATACATGAATGAAGTGAAAAACCAAGATTTTGTTTATGTATACGGAGGAGACGTGCAAGTGCTAGTATTTGAACACCAGCCTTCTAAAAAGAAGATATGCATAAACCACTTAGACTTTCTAGTGTTGATACCTGTCTATGAAGCCACAACAAAATACTAGTTACTTTGATTTTTTTGTTTTTTATTAAAAAAATTGAGAACACATTGGCTGTATAGCACAAAATCACAGTCTCCTAGGGAGTACTAAAACGATACAGTATTGTATAGCTAACATAGGTAATCTTCATGCTCATACGTAGTGTTAACCTTGTTAACCTATGTGTCTGTTAGACTTATCTTTACCACTGTAAGAAATGGATCCACTGAAGTTCAACTTTTCTACCTAATAAAGAATGTTCCTGGTAACCAGAAAAATAAGGTCTTTGTTTCTATAAAACTCAGGGAGGGGGAAGGAAAAAAAAAAAAAAAAAAGTACAACAGGTTTGCTATCTGCACTCAACTACAGTAAGCCTGGAGTTCCAAAGTTCTATGTTCCTCCCATGGTTTTACTGAAGGACAAAGGGACTATACTCAAAAGGCAACACTTACTGGAATAAAAAGAAGGGTAAAAAATGAAGAAATAAACTAATGCTTTTTATTTATTTATTTGAACTATTAAGCAGTAATGATACACTTTGTGAGGCTTTCATAGTTTCACTAGGGAAAATAATCTGGTTTTGCTGCATATTAGTGGCCACAGATAAAGCTTCAGTTTGTACTGCACAAAGCACTTCTCATCATAGCTTAATCAGCACTAATATAATTAGATATTTAAGATGACGATTTTTAGCAACTATCTCCCATGTATAAAACTTGATGCCACACAGAATAATATTTACTGCAAACATCGTTTTATTACATTCCACTAGTTGGTCTCTGAGGCGTTCACTACATTTTAACTGGCCATGAAACAAGTATTTGAAATGTTTGCTGCGGTACAAATGCAGCAGATGTAGCCCCAGCTTTGCTGAATTGAACAAAAACATTGCTTTATTTTCAGAACTTACAGAAGTGACCAAAACGGAGAGCATCTGAACATTTCCCTCTCATAAATCAGCAGGTCTTGTAACAAATAGCAGGAAAAAACCAGCAAGGACATTGGGAAACATCCAACCTTCCTGGTGAGTTTGTACAGGGACAAATTAAAGCCATCACCAAACCAAGGGGATAGGCTGGCAGGGGCAAGGAAAGATCACTGTCCAGCTGCTCACATATCATAAGGGACAAGAAGCATTGTCACCAGCCTGGCAAACCCTGTCACATGTCCAAGTTGGCCGGTCCTTGGAAAAAGCAGTTAAAAGCAGCTGTGAACCGTGTACATTACTGCCATGCAATCCAGCACTGGCTAAAACCCCTGCACAAGGGAACACCTCAGCAGAGCAGCAGGGAGCCAAGTACAGATCTCCCACACACCCTGATGGCCCATCAGGGCTAAGTCCACACACCTGTGTGAAATGTGATGTAGTTACCTCATGTAGCCCACAGAACTTTATAGACATTCTTAACTCCAAGCTGAAATTGGAATATTTAATGGATTGAATCTCCATCTAAAACCTATTTCTAAATTTTCTTGATAATTTTCTGAATTCTGAATGCCTAAAAAGCAGAAAGTCACCTCACCAAAACGGGCCACATTTCAGCAGAAACAGAAAAAAAAAAAAAAAAAAAAAAAGAGACTAGGAATCTTGTGTGCTTGCATTTGAAAACAAAGTTATTTTCATTTCTGCAAGGTACCTACAATACAAAAGAATATATCCCAACAAGAGTATTTGACTTGTCCTGTATAATCGGAGCTTATATAAAAATGCACAAATAACTTACAAGAAATAACAATACAATGCCAAAACAACCCCTAACCCGAAGAAAAAAACCAAGATAATTTCTTCAGGAATCTTTCACAAAAGCCAGCTTAAAGTGGCTATTACCCTTTTCTTTCCTGAATGAAAGCTTCACAGCCTAAGAAATATTAAATTTATACCTAAGAAGATGTACTCAAGTTTTTGGGGCTTTTTATCCATAATAGAAGTGCTCTTCCATTGCGAAGCTAATCACCAATATTGACCAACTTCTTGAAAACAGGCTACTCAGTTTGGAAATTACCTTGGACAGTGAAACCCAGGCTAACCGCTTCCACTGACTGAAAAACTTGTACAGCCCAGACAGCTTCTTTGGTACCTGTTGTTGTCCTTCCCTTTCTCTCTCTCTTTTTTTTTGGTTTTTTTTTTGTTTTTTTGTTTTGTTTAATACTCTGTATATAAT